CTTTGACTCAGAGATCTGATCCACAAGGCAGTGGAGCAAGATGAGGAGATGCAGTCTCATGGTATCCGGTGACCAATGACTGGTTCATACGCCATTTGTTCCGTCAGGATCATAGAGCCAATGTGCACCATTTGTTTGGAATCAGGGTTTTCCAACTCCCGTAGATGGACTCTCCGTGCCCACCGGCCTGGTTAAATCGCCGGACATTCACTTTTCGTTTTCTCAATTTCGTAAAGGACAGTAATGTTGGGAGAAGGCAGTGAGTAGGACTTCCTTGGCAGTGGTTGTATGCACGTGGCTGTATGAGAACATTTCGAGAGCGAGGGCGGGCCCTGATTGATGTTTTATATCATCAGTAACAAAATCTTGTTAATTTGTCTGTTTGTTTGATTTTTGTCAACAAAAGTACGGTTGGCCATAATTTTTAAACTGAGTGTTGTAATTTGTTAGTAGTATTCAGTTACTACACCATTATGCTTACAGTTTATGACTGTGTAATTTGTTTTATTCAGTGTGAATCTCTTTTTTAAATTTTGTATTGCTGAATCGAATTTAGTTAATTTACAATGTACCATAGTTTATTTTATCCAGTGTTCTAAATGAATTACTGTTTTATTATTTCATCAAGGTTGAGTATATACAAATCAAGGCATTTTGGTATGCAAAAAAAGGTGAAAAATCTATTTCGTTTTAAGACTAGTTAGTAATAGACAAATCATAGATTTTAATCAAAGATGGATAGTGGCTAGCGGTGGGATCCAGTTTGACGCGCGTTTCGTCCTATTTTGGACTCGTCATCTGGATTTACCTGCATTCCAGAGTTGGTGGTCATTCCGAGACTCCAACCCAGTACCATTCGATTCAAACGCCATCGCGTTATCCACTTAGCTATTGAATCCTGATAGCCACTTGCTTGTGCAATGGGATGAAGTTCAAATTCACTTGGTGTTGTTTCACTTGTACCTTCCAATTGTTATTTAGGACTGCACATATGCCAACATGAGAATGATCAATTGCAGTCCTAAATAACAATGGGGAGATACAAGTAAAACAACACTAAGTGGATTTAAATGATAGATTACTTAAATAAATGACTTTTTAAAAGACATTTTTATTTGTATTAGAAGGGGTTTGTGTGGAGATTGTAGTAATTTCAATAGTTGAGATCATGTACCACGATAGAAAACCTGGTAGCACTGAACAGCCGTTTCGTTCTATTGTGGGATTCCTCAGCAGTGCGCATCCATGACAAATGTAGGTGTTTTACAATTAGTGACTTTTAATGATGCTCTGCACTTATGGTTTACATTATGTACTGATGTTAGTTAGATAATTACCGAAAGGTAGCATTCACTGGATAGTTCATTTACCCTAGTTTTGAACCCTGTCAATGAGAATCCACTACCTCTCAATTCATAGACCAGTGAGTTTGAAAACATTGGTTTAAATTTTCAACTTAAGTCAATACACGATGTCTAGCGACCATCTTCTGAGGCCATTGATGTGTGACTACCGCAGATCTAATATGGTTGAAATTTACTAGTCACGGTTTTTCGGTTTAACTCCAAGAATACCTCATTAAATTAATCCGTTATTATTGTTGTTAAAACTTTGGTATAGTACTGAGCTTTTAGGTTCAAACTAGATTAGCTTAAAAATCATTGTCTTTTTTTGTTAGTCGAAACAAATAATACCATTTTAAGTATCTATCTCACTCATTATAACATGTGAGTATATATACCATGCTACTAAATAAGTCACCAATGAAATATATCATTTATGCTGGAGGACTGAAATTATTTTATATGCTTTATTAAACATAATTAGGCTGATTTCTTTTGTACGTAAGCAGGAGAAGATTTCCGATGCAAAAGATTTCATTCAGTCATTAAAATATTGTACACCATAGTTAATAGAATGATATTGTTTGATATATCTGGAATTCAATTTAGTTGGCCTAGAAGGTACTTTGAATACTGCTTTGTCTTGTAATAAATAGTTGTAAATTAGAGTATATGGAATCCAACTAGCAATAGAAACCAGAACAAGCGTTTTGTCTTATCTATGACTTTTAATTAGGATGTACCTGTATCCTAGATTTAATTTTCACCTATGTACTAGAACCCGGTACCCATTTAGCTACTGAGTTCAGATAGACACTTACTAGTTCAATGTGCTAGCATTTGAAGCGAAATCTATTGGGATTAAATCCCGAAGTGAACATAAATTATTGAGTGAAGGTTTATCCAGTTAAGAGGTCCCAAGATCGGATGAAGCTCACATCTTAGATTCCACTGTTAGCTACATTCCACCTATTCTATAGAAACTTGTGCCATAAAGTTTACATCAAGGTAATCCGTACAAAGTTTATATTCGCTAACTAAAACCCATCAATTATTTGTAAAAACATCAACCACACATTAGTCTAAACCATTACAGTTGTAAAGTTAATTATAGGATTGAAAGCTAAGGAAATATGAGTCAATAGAAGATTCATATCAGATTTATTGACTTCAAGTATTCACCTGAAATCGTTTATATGAAACGTGACATGTATAAATTTCAATTTTACACATGAGATGAATCAAACTGATGAAATTGCATTGTTAACCGAATTTCTTGGCTATTCAACCTTAAAGAAAAAAACTTTGCAGATATTCATCTCAACAGAATTAGAAGAAATAAAGTTGAGAATAAATTTTATCCATAAGTATTTCAACGGATTTTCTTTTAATTGTCTAATTATTTACTGCAACGTGACTTACCCTTTGATCTGATACATATATGTATTTGTAGATGTGTTTGTCAGTCAGTTAGCTACAACGTAGGATCAGGAACGTATATGCGTCAGTCCAAGTTGCCACACCTCATTATCATTACAAGATGAACACTGAATTCACAGACTTAGTTACTTTTATGATAGTAATATATAAAAGAAGGATTGTGTGTAAGGGTATAGAACAGGAAGAAAGATTTAGTTCGTAGAAAGAAAGATATGAAGTGGTTTTAATCTCTTAGTTTAAGGGAAGATAGAGAATGTATACATCTATGGCATTGTGATCGATTCTGAGCCATATCACTCAGACTCTCCAACCACTGGTTACGACAGTAACGCGGACTCCAACCAAGTAGTCTGCATCTACCAACATGGATAAGACTAGAAGTTAGTGACTTCAAGCACTGATGCCACATTTTGTTTTGGCGGAGACAGAAGAGAGTAGATAAGCATACACATTCGATTTCGAATCGGTGATTAATCAATGAAACATTTGTAGTGGGAGTCCGTGATCAGTGGAGTTCTTGCATGTCGCGTATGAGGAAGTTAACCACTGAAGACAATGAAAGATGGTTGTTCAATATGATGGAGTGGTTTAAATGAGACTTTTACATCACTGAGTACTGACCAAATTTTCTACAAGTTAAGCGTCTACGTGAGAAACCGAAAATTCTGAATTTGATTATAGGTTGAGGGGTCGTGAGCGTGCACTACTGAAGATTCCCATAGTAGGACGAAATGTTAGATTTTCAGTGTTTCTTTTAAACTTGTATCGGTTTATGGTTTCAATTGAATTCAACAATTTCCACATCATATTGGTGACTGCTTTCTGTTATATTAAATCACTAAATCTCTACCTTCTGATGTATGCAACTTAGTTTCAGTTCATCTATACAAAACCTAAGTAATCTCCAAGATATGATCATAAATTTTTCTTTCTTCTCCAGTATCCTCTTTTAAAGGTAAATGTAATTTATACAATGTCCGATATTGACTATAATAAATAATTCTATTCATCATAGGTGGCTTTTTTATTTTATGCATTAACCAGTAATCAAAGTAGAAAAAAATCAATTTCATTCAACCTTGAACTGAGTATAATCCCATCACTTTATTTCCCATGACATTTAAGCAAAAATCCCTATTTCGAATAGCTTAGATATTTGTGAATGGCGCAAAAATACACACTACTAATTGGTTAAATATATTTACTATGAGGTTCTGAGAAGCTGTTAAGTGTCATTTTTTTTATAAATATGGACTGATTTTAGTAAAAAAAAAACACCATGCAAATCAGGAAGCATGGGACGACTCTTTAACACTGAACATCCAAGATCCTACTGAGGATTAAACCCAAAACCTTCAGGTTTTGCGGTGAGCTTTTTACCCTTAAACTACTGCTTAGTTATGTACTGAATTTTGTGCCTAACTTTAATCAATTCTCTATATTGCTTACCCTTTATACAATCTCATTGGTGGTTAAATATCTAACATTGGACTTGATCAGAAATATTGACCATTGAATACCGAATCCATAGTTCAAAGTCAATGCACTTTTCATGAAATATGAAGGTTATGTGTTCGATCTTCACTTAGGTCTTTAATATACATTGCCATACTTAGATAAAAAACAGATATTCACAAATTCTCAGTTTTCAATGGTTATCTAAATAACATTAGTTATTTATGTAGATTATGTAATTCAACAACTCCGCCTAGAGTCCCTCTGGGGGCTACTGCCAGTCCTAAGCCCAGATAAAGGAGGAGGGTTGGGCATGGGGTTAGCGACCCCATCCCGTAGAAAACTAACTCGCTAAAAAATGCTAACCAGAAAAAATTATTCGAACCTTTTAAACTCTGCCCTGGGAGTCAGAAGGTCTTCATTTAGAAGAACTATGACGTCTCATGATGAAAGCCGAATTCCTTTGGAAGTCACGAGGCCGATGCCCTTTCTGACAGGTATGTAATTAAACAATCTCTACAAATCCTTCATAGTGATAATCTGTTTATGTTAGTTTATTATTCACAACTTGTAATGGTGTATTGGTTAGGAAATTATCAACATTACTATTAACATTCACTTGGCATTGTCTGGATTCCACTGCTAGCCACTATCCATCATTGCTTACAATTACTTATAACATTTATAAATACTATTTGCAATAATAACACTGAGTTACATTCTTTTTGTTTGTTGTTGTTGAATAATAACCCATAAATTTAGCAACACTTGGAACATACAATATTTATACAAAACGTGCCAGTTTCAAAGATGATGTAATTTTACAACAATTTATCCAAGACAAATGTGAACCAACTACACCTTGTGTCATTGAAGCTGTAAGTTACTCATTCTACGTGTTTTTTTCTGGGGGGGGGAAAGGGATGTTTTTCTTTTTTTTTCAAAAAATAAATTGATTGTTCAAATTTTGGTAATACCATTTTTTATAATGTACATCATAGACTGATCTTAGTCAGACTACCATTAAAAGCCCGAAAGGAATGGATAGCTGTGTTCGTATGAGAATTTTCAGTATTCACCATCTTACAATCAAAAATATAACATATAACCTTCCATCTAGCATCAATTCACTAGAACTCCGGAGATTTCCTCTTGAAGATAGTCACTTATGAACACATGAAAGTTATCAGCATAGGGTTGTGAAGATCGTCAGTATGGTTTTCTAATTTTGACCGGTTCTTGATATCAATGAAATTCAATAATCTACACGACCATGTACTATTATTTGAATTTAAGATAAAGATCTTAGTAAACACTTAGAAAAAAAACAGTTACATTTATTAAATTCATCTTGAACTCCTGACTTCATCTCAATGATCAATTCATCGTTGGCTCTGATAATTTCAGTTTATGTGAATAGAAGATAATATAAACAACAATATTGAAGAATGATTTATGAAAAAACAAACACATCATAAATCAGAAGCGGTTTGGTAGAGATTGTAGTAGTTTCAATAGTTGATATCATGAGTCAATTAAAACTATACCATCATGGAAAACCTAGAAACACTGGATAGCCATTTCGTCCTATTGTGGGATTCATCAGTAGTGCACATTCAATATTCTACACACGGAACTCGAACCTAGGATATTCGGTTTCTCGTGTGAACGCTTATTAACTAGACCAGTGAGTTGGTGTCCAACAATGTTGGTGTCTAACTCCGACGAATCCACAAAATTGAGTGATACATCCACCATTTTCTTCAATAAGTTACTATCTCACAACCGATACGGTTGAACTCCACTGGTCAGTGCTTCTCACTATAGTGAGGAAATACTTCTCGGAGACTGTCAATGTAAGCATATGTTGATTGTTATCAGAAGACGTTTTTGTGGAAATTATAGTAATTTAATAGTTGAGTTCATGAGTCGATTGAAGCTGGATCGCCATGGAAGATCTGGAAGCACTGGACAGCCATTTCATTCTACCAAGGGACTCTTCAGTATTAAGCATCCAGTTCTCAAATTTTTTTTAACAATACGCCTATATTAATCTCAATTTATAAGATTGATCGATAAGATAAGGAAGGAACAGTAGTGATATGTCAATTGTTTAAAAATTTACATTGAATTCAGCAAATACTCTTATAGGTTAAGTGTATTTTGATTAGATCCCAGCTTATTATTAACTTTTATGAGGTATTTGTAAACATCTAAACTTTACTCATTCAGCTTCATTAAAAAAAGTTTATTGAAACTGATGAATTATATATCATTGATTCTATCAAGTTGTTTGATTTGTGGCTAAATATAAATATATTTTTTTTGTTCCCAAGCAAAATTTAATTCACTCATTACCGAATCATTACAAATTAAGTTAAAATTCATACCTAATGCACATATGTACGGTTATTTGGACTCAGTAGTTGAATAGATAATGTATTGAATATGATGTTCGTATTCTGGAGTAAATATCAACTCTGAGGTGCACGTACACCTGATTAACAAACCTATAAATAGTACGAAACCTGAGCTGTAGATTTCACTCTTAGTCACATGCTGTGTATACTAAATCACTATAAAATCAGTTTAACTTACGCCTATTACTCCTCATGAAGGAGCATAGGCCGCTCATCAGCATTCTTCATCCAGATATGTTGCGTAGTGATTTGTCACAATATTCCGTGATCAAGCATAGGTCCTTACATATAAAACTTTGTCACATATACTTTCTATAGGATTGAAACTCCCCACTGTCATTCATATGTTTTTCTATTTATGTTACTAAAGTACAACTTTACATTCGAATAGATCACTGTATATAACAACTTGATATTCATTATAATATTATTTGATAAATCAACAAAATAAAAACTGACATTAAGATATAATAGGAATAATTCATAAAGAAACATAAAGGGAATAAGTCCATTTATATTTTGTTCTCAGAATGTAACCCCTAAAGATAAAATCTATTATGACTAACGTTTAAAGTACACTTAAGAATCAGAAATAATCTACAGTAAACAAATGAAATTGAATAATTTAAAAAACACAGTTATCGTATAGAAAGGAAAACAAATAGCGAACAACATTGAGAACATTACACAGGTTAATCGTTATCTTGACAAATTTATGAGTTTACTAACTTTATCTACAATAATATATTAAATTCACTTGATGTTGTTTTACCCCTCCTATCTTCCCATTGTTATTTAAGACTAATATTGACCAATCTCATGCTGACATATGTGCATCCTTTGTGGATTGCCTCGATATTGTCTTAAATCACAAGCTTTTTTTTCGAGTCTCGGAGTGAACATCCACTCTGGGATTCAGGTAGATCCATCTGAAGAGTCTCAGAAAGGACGAAACGCGCGTTATAGGTTCCAATGCTAGTCAATATCCATCTTTGTTTAATAATATATTAGTATCAGAAGGGGGTTTGTGGAGATTGTAATGATTTCAGTAGAGATCATCAGTTAATTAGTTGTGAGATAGCAACTCATTGAAGACAATAGTGGATGTATCACTCAATTTTGTGGATTCGTCGGAGTTAGACACCAACATTGTTGGACGCCAACTCACTGGTCTAGTTAATAAGCGTTCACACGAGAAACCGAATATCCTAGGTTCGAGTTCCGTGTGTAGAATATTGAATGTGCACTACTGATGAATCCCACAATAGGACGAAATGGCTATCCAGTGTTTCTAGGTTTTCCATGATGGTATAGTTTTAATTGACTCATGATATCAACTATTGAAACTATTACAATCTCTACCAAACCGCTTCTGATTTATGATGTGTTTGTTTTTTCATAAATCATTCTTCAATATTGTTGTTTATATTATCTTCTATTCACATAAACTGAAATTATCAGAGCCAACGATGAATTGATCATTGAAATGAAGTCAGGAGTTCAAGATGAATTTGATAAATGTAACTGTTTTTTTTCTTATTGTTTACTAAGATCTTTATCTTAAATTCAAATAGTAGTCAACATTACTAAGAAAAACTGGAAAACATTAAGATTAAATATTGATTTGAGTACTTAATAAATTAAGATAAATAGTTGATATGAAATGAATATTATCTAAATGTGTATAATGAATCAATCATTTAGTAGTGGACTGCGTAGTGTTTAATAAATTCTCTAGTATTGATCAAATTCTATAGTTCAAGAACTAATGTAGCGGCTATTGGTTTTGCTGACTCTATTGATTCTAATCACAGAACATCTAAAGATTGTACACTCGAAATCGAGCCGCTTAAACTAGAGGCCAGTACATAGCCACTTTATCGATGGAATTCAATCAATACTAAAGGATTAGAAAAGTATAACATTAGGGATTACCCACTTATTTGTTCACTGTAAATATCCCAATACCGTACGAGATGAATCGTGAACAAATAAGTTAGAACTGATGTCTAAAACTTCAAGGCAAGCTAATATGTGATCGAATCACACAAGAAGCACCAATTACTGAAGTATGGAAGGTATGCTCTTCTGATTCATAATAAATAGCACGAAAAATTGATTAGTTAAGTTTACCTATCGGTTACCTCCAACCATCTAACTAATCGGTCACTGAATAATGTCTTAATTGTACCTTTTCAAATTAATGAGATATCATATTTATTTCATTTAATCTGTCCTATGGATCTTTACAAAATAATTAACCTTTATTATGAAACAATTACCACAGCGATAAAATTTACTTTGACTGTTACTACTACTACTACTACTACTACTACTACTACTACTACTAATAATAATAATAATAATAATAATAATAATGATACTATTACTACTAGTATTACAACCCATTTATATGTGACATAACTAACGCTTATTTGAATGATTATTAAATTTATTCAAATGAAATGAAATAGAATAGCAAATTCAAAGTTTAGGATGTTTACAATAGGCTAAATAAGACAGTAATTTCCAATGAACTATTTCCAATTCATTACTTCGAAATGATTTATTTGGATTAGGCGATGACCGTTTATTCTCTAATGATTTACTGTTTGGTTGGTTTCATTGATAACGCAATCAGTGTGAAATGAATTGTTAGCATTGCAGTTGTTCACATACACAATTTGTGGAGATGTGTTCAATTGAGAGAGACAGAGAGAGAGAGAGAGATCGTTGAGCATTGTCTGATATCAGTTGTAGAACTAATGTAGATTGAGGTATAATAGACAATTGTGACAATACTTGAAATCGCCGACCGAAATCGGAAGAACTGTCGACTACTCTTCAAGTGAACCATTGAAATGGGAACATAAAAGAAGAGAAACTTGATGTTTTCGAGTTCAGTATGGTGTTGATTTTTAATTGTAATACGTTGATGTACATCATAATATGACAGGATATTTCTGCCTTCTTTCTACCGCTTTCAACAACTTTTCTCTTTACATTATTCCATTAGTGTTTTTGTATTCAATGATTTTCACCAGTAAAACAATCACAATTCATTTAAATAGCACTAAATAATAAATCAGGTTAATCTATTAGTAATTAATTATGACATTTGTATGATTGTAAAATAATCATCTGACAGATGTATAGAATGCGGAACATTTAAATTTTGTATACATTTATGAGCGGTATGTATATATGGATAGATAGATAGATCGATTGATCGGCCATTGAAGCATCATAATTGAATTCGAAAACTAATCAATTAATTGTTGAAGGATCCAGGTCAAATATATCGCTATTTATCCTCTTGTTCTCTTTGTTTTAGTTTTTATAACGAAATGATTTTTTTCGCATCTCCTTATTTTTGTGAATGTGTTATAGTTCCAAACACTAAAGTGTTAGGTTCACATACTGATTTAATCAGTAGTGTGAGGTATTTTTCAGATTTA